AAACACTTAGAAAGTAAATCTGACAGGGCATGGTGGCTCTTGCTGTAATTCCAGCACCTTGGGAGGTTGAGGCAGGAGGACTGCTTGAGCCCAGGAGTTCAAAACCAGCCTGGGCATATCAAAACCTTGTCTCTACAAAAAATAAAAAAAAATTAGCCAGGTGTGGTAGTGCGTGCCTGTAGTCCCAGCTACTCAGGAGGCTGGGGCAGAAGGATCTCCTGAGCCCAGGAGCTCACAGGTACGGCAAGCCATGATCAGGCCACTGCACTCCAGCCTGGGCAAGAGTGAGACACTAACTCGGGGGGTGGGGAGGGGGAGTGAAAAGGAGGAAAAGAAGAAGAACAAAGAAACTGCTTACAAAAATGTTTTACTGACTAAAGTAGCTATGCTTTGAGGAAACATGAAATGTATTACTTTCAAGTCTTCAACTTTCTTGTTCTTGTTCTGGGAAAAAACTCTTCCTCCAAGTTCACTTCTGTTAATAAAAAAATTTGCAATAGTTGCTACAAAAAATACAGCTGCTGCTGTTTTCTGACCTGCTCCTAATGTTTGCCTTTCTTGAAGAATGTTCTTAAAGGAGCTAACACAGAAAATAAGGGTGAGGAAGAAACATTTGGAAAACAAGCATAAAGAGGTCTACTATGAAATGTTACTAGAATATATTTCTCAGGGCCAGATCATGAAGAACCAAGACCAAAAATTATCATTGTTTTGTTAGGAAGAGAGAATTTTTGAGGAGAAGTGTGATTTGGCCAGATTCGTGGAAGGTATATCTTCAAGACTGGCCTGAAAAGTGTAGAGGTAGAAAATTGCTAGGATTCTCCTAGGATGATTCCCAGGATATCAGTTACAGTGCTGGCAACAAACAGGTAGTAATCATGCTGGGCAATTTCCATTTGCAAAGATGTGGGCACAGTTTGAGGAAACCAATAAAGAACACTAGTGCTGCACTGGCAGAGAACCATAATCACCCCAAGGCCTGCAGCAACCAAGGGAGCCGCTAGAGGAGCAGGAAGATGGCTGCATGGACAGGGCACCTGATGGGCCACAAAGGCCTCTTGAAGGCAATCTGCAGAGGGCTGAAGGCATGCATGCCCTGACCTTACTCTCTTCGCATCTGGTCTGTCACTGCCGACCGCTGGCCGAACCCAGCTGGAAACCAAAGATAGAGTCAGAGAGGTTCTGGAGAAGCAGAAGAAAGACATCTAGTCTAGAATAGTGGTAAGGTCATAGCAATGGGCATGGAAAGGGATACAGAGATAAACCTAACAGGATTTTATACTGATTGGATTTGGAAACAGAAAAAGTTAAGGATGACTTCATAGTTTCAAGCCCAAGTTACCTAGACTAGAACGATGATAACATTAATGGAGCTGGGTTTTACTAACCATTGTATTCCCGGTGTCAGTATAGTGCTCAGGTATCAAAGTCCTTCTATAGACAATTTTTTTGGGGGGGTGGGGAGTGGATGGATGGATGATGAAAGGAAAGCAAATCTGAGAGAGAGTATGTTATGTAGTTTTAGACATATTGAGTTTAGAATGTGGTGAAAGAGTCCAGCAAATAGTTGGAGATTTAATCCTAGAGATCTGAAAAGGAAAGGAATAAAGATGTACCTTTAAGGACCATCTGCACAAAAGTGGCAGCTGATACCATGTGAGTGGATGAAATAACAGAGAGAGTAGATATAGAGGCAAAATAGGTGGAGTATGATGACCAAACTTGGGATCTCTCTGTATTTATGGGACAAAAGGAAGAAAGGAAATCAACAAAGAGAAAAGACAATATGTATCACCATTAGCTATACCATTAAAATATATGCACATATATTTATACATCTCTGGGAGGCTTTCTTTTTCTTGACACTATCTAGTCTTGCCTAAAATAAGGATGATACAAATGCAAGCTGGAGACCATAACTTACCCACTTGCCTCAATAAGATTTTTTTTAAAGCCTCAAATCCCACTTTGAATTGCTCATCTTGAATTGAACACAGCCAACATTGATATCCTTTCAATTAGAAATGTCCATAAAGCTTATTCTTTCAAACAATCGTTTATCGAATACTTATGTGTCCAGCACTACGTGGAGGTAAAAATCAATCTCCAGTCTTCAAGAAAATTAAAATCTACTTGGATTATTAAAAAAAAAAAAAAAAAAACACTAGGGCAACCCCTTCGGGTTCCCTCCCGCTGTGAGACTGTGGGAGCTTTTCTGTCCTCTCAATAAATCCTGTTTTCAAAAAAACCCCCCCAAAAACAAAAACACTAAACATAATTAGAGTTCAATTAAGAGCTGACCTGTATGATCCACATCAAAAAGCATTTCATCTAGTGAGAAGTCTTACCATTTAACACCTGTCAATCTCTACTTTTTTTTCCCCTAATTCTGAAGACTGACAGAGGAGCCAAATCCTACGTACTTTCTATTGAAGGTCTAATCACACTGTAAGGTATAGTAAAGTTCTCTTTACCTATCTTTCCCCCAGTATTCCATAAGGTATCAATCATCTGTGTATCTAGTGTCTGGCCCATGATAGCCATGCAAGCAAATGTTTGTTGAGTGAATGTATAAAGGAACGAATCAGAAGTCAAGCCAAGTCCAGAGCAGTTGTCTCAATATCCTTAACACTCTTTTATGGCAAATTCCAAAAGTTTTAAGGTTCAAAGCAGTAACCTAATATAGCCTTTGACCTAGCCTTAGCCCCATGGATGACTGTTGCTGAAGACTTGATGCTGGATAAGACAAAGGTTCAGAAAAAAACCTTTGGCAAATGCTAAAATGCTTTTGGATAAGAGAGGCTAATACAATGGTGAACCTCAGCTGCATCATTGTGTCAGCTGCTATTATGTTAATTTATACTGGCTAATTCTCCAACATAACCCCATCTTCCATAACCTCAGCCCCCAGGGAAAGGAAGATAAAACCTGTAAGTCACAAAATCAATAGTGCCTCCCAAACTCGAATGTATATACTAATCACCTACAGATCTTATTAAAATCAAGGTTCTGATAAATTACCTCTAAGGTGAGGCCTGAGACTCTGCATTCCAAACAAGCTCCCTGGTAGAGCTATGCTACTGGTCAGCCTACCACACTTCTTGGGTATCAAGAGCTTGGATGGCATTTCAGAGAATATATATTATATATAATTGTATATGATATATATATTATATATAAAACAATTTTATATAATACATAACATATATTATACATATAATTCAGATTTAAAACCTGAGTTAAGATACCTCCTCTTTTCACTTTTCCTAGTTGTATAGCCCTAAATAAGTCATTTCAACTCTCTGAGCCCTTTTCTTCATCAGTAGAAATAATAAACACAGCCGGGCTCGGTGGCTCAGCCTGTAATCCCGCGCTTTGGGAGGCTGAGGTGAGTGGATTGCCTGAGCCTGCGGGTTCGTGACCCACCTGGGCAACGTGGTGAGACCTCGCCTCTACAATACATCAAAAATTAGCCGGGCATGGTAGCGTGCGCCTGTAGTTCCACTACTTGGAAGGCTGAGGCAGAATGATCGCCGGAGTCCAGCAGGTGGAGGCCGCAGTGGCCGGGAGTGGCCACTGCACTCCAGTCTGGGCAACAGAGTGAGACCCCAACGCAAAAGAAAATAATCATAATAACAAACACAATAACAAATAACACAGTTAATAATAGCTAACACAGGCCGGGCTCGGTGGCTCAGCCTAATCCCAGCGCTTTCGGAGGCCGAGGAGAGTGGATTGCCTGAGCCCGTCGGTTTGAGACCCACCTGGGCAACCTGGTAAGACCTCATTTCTACAATAAAGCAAAAATTAGCCAGGCGTGGTAGCACGCACCTATAGTCCTGGCTACCTGGCAGACTGAGGCGGAAGGGTCGCTGGAGCCCCGCAGGTCGAGGCTGCGGTGGCCGGGAGCGTGCCACTGCACTCTGGTCTGGGGGACAGAGTGAAACTTCAACTCAAATAATAATAATAATAATAGCAGCTAACACTTAAGCTGAATTCTACTACGTAGCAGGAACCGTTTCCTATGTACCAACGTATATAGGCTTAGGTTAAACAACCTAAGTAGGTACAATCAATGGTAAACTGAGATCTGACTCTTGACAATTTGACTCAAGAAATCTAGTATTTATCCACTGTATCACACTGCCTCTAGTTAAGTTCCCAGAGCTAATGAAGATTAAGCAGCTGATATTCAGCTAACTTTTGAGTACTCTTACATTCCAGGCCCTAGGGTAAGACTCCCTTAGGACATATTAACCCATTTGTCCCCTAACAGCCCTAGGGGGTATTACTAGTATCCCCACCTCACCGGTTTTAAAACAGGCCCAAACAAGTAAAACAGCCGGTCAAAAAGAGGTAGGGCCAGGGTCGTAACCCAGGCACGTAACTGCAGAGCCTGGCGCTCTTTGCCAGGAGAGGCCGCGACCCCAGAGCACGAAGCCAGCTCGCGGCGTGGGCGCACACCCGCGCCCACTCGGGGCGGTCTAATCGCCAGCCCGCTCGCTCCCAAGGCACACCGAGTCTTCTACACTTAGCTTTAAGTGTATCTCTAGGATGCGTTGTGGGGGGCCCCTCCTAGGACCCCGAGAGCGAATCATAACTCGTCCAGCCCCACGAAAGGCTGACCAGCTGAACACCTTTACAACCGGTTGATACTGAAACTGCAACTCGTGCCTGATGGGAACCCACACCCCAGGAGGCCCCTGGAACTTGGACCGGCCCCGTCCCCGACCGCTTCCCGAACCGCCCTCTGGACCCCTTCCCGGGACCGCTCCCCCACCCAGGGCGGCTCCCTGCCCCGCTGCTTCCTGGGAGCCGCCGTCCCGATCAGGCCCTGGAATTTGTAGTCCGGGCTCTCCGCGCCGGCTCCGCTTCCATCCGTCGCGAGCCCAAGGGTCCCGCTTCTGATTCCATCCTCTCTCCAACACCGCCCTCTGCCGGCCCTTCTCGCGTCGCCCCGTTGTGAGCCGTTTCCGGGTGCTCCGGAAGCGAACCTTTCTTTTCCGGGTTGGGCGTCCCGGCGTCTGCACGTGGTTGAGTTGCCGGGCTTGGGCTGCCGGGATCGGAGAAGTAACTTCTGCTGCCGGCCCAAGGCGAGTGAGCCGAGCCGGAGCCATGGAGGGCCAGAGCGTGGAGGAGCTACTGGCAAAGGCGGAGCAAGACGAGGCAGAGAAGCTGCGGCGCATCACGGTGCACAAGGAGCTGGAGCTGGAGTTTGACCTGGGCAACCTGCTGGCTTCGGACCGGAACCCCCCGCCGACGGGGCTGCGGGGCGCGGGGTCCGCGCCGGAGGCCGGACTGCGGGCCCTGGCGCGGGACAACACGCAGCTGCTCATCAACGAGCTGTGGAAGCTGCCCACGGAGCGCGTGGGGGAGGCGCTGGTGGCGCGGCTGCCCGAGCCCACCACCCGCCTGCCGCGTGAGAAGCCTGTGCCCCGGCCGCGGCCGCTTACGCGCTGGCAGCAGTTCGCGCGCCTCAAGGGCATCCGTCCCAAGAAGAAGACCAATCTGGCGTGGGACGAGGTGAGCGGCCAGTGGCGGCGGCGCTGGGGCTACCAGCGCGCCCGGGACAACACCAAGGAATGGCTGATTGAGGTGCCCGGCAATGCCGACCCCCTGGAGGACCAGTTCGCCAAGCGGATGCAGGCCAAGAAGGAACGGGTGGCCAAGAACGAGCTGAACCGACTGCGTAACCTGGCCCGCGCGCACAAGATGCAGCTGCCCAGTGCGGCCGGCATGCACCCTACGGGACACCAGAGTAAGGAGGAGCTGGGCCGCGCCATGCAGGTGGCCAAGGTCTCCACCGCCTCTGTGGGGCGCTTCCAGGAGCGCCTCCCCAAGGAGAAGGCGCCCCGGGGCTCCGGCAAGAAGAGGAAGTTTCAGCCCCTTTTCGGGGACTTTGCAGCCGAAAAAAAGAACCAGCTGGAGCTGCTTCGAGTCATGAACAGCAAGAAGCCTCAGCTGGATGTGACGAGGGCCACCAACAAGCAGATGAGGGAGGAGGACCAGGAGGAGGCCGCCAAGCGGAGGAAAATGAGCCAAAAGGGCAAGAAAAAGGGGGGCCGGCAAGGTCCGGGGGGCAAGAGGAGAGGGGGCCCTCCCAGCCAGGGAAGAAAGAGGAAAGGGGGCTTGGGAGGCAAGATGAATTCCGGGCCCCCTGGCTTGGGTGGCAAGAGGAAAGGAGGACAGCGCCAAGGAGGAAAGAGGAGGAAGTAATAGTTTAGCCCTCGGACCCATTCTGGAAACCAAGAACCATATAAACTGAATGCTAGGTTCTGGGTCCTGGGGAGCAGGAGGCGAGGAAGATGTGACCGCCTTCCCCTCAGAGTATGGAATGAGTTCTAAACAGCCTTTTTATTTTCTTTTTAACTTTGGATATGGGGTGGGGAAGAGTTGGTTATTTCAGAGACTTAAAGTAGATTGATTTATATGTTTCTGCATTATTTTTACAAAACTTGTATTTATCAGAGTGGGGAGGAGAGACTACAAACTTTCCGAACTGGATTGACAACTGTTAAAGGTTGTGTAATAAAATATGTCTGTGTCTAGTGTTGCTTTTAACTTTTTGACTACTGATAGAGATTTTTACTTGAAGCCAGTTACCTGGATACCTGGTACAGATTTTGCATAATTGTGAAAATAGGAAGCAGTTAAATTATAATGGTTTCATCGAGGCCACGTTTATTAGAAAAATTATTCATAATAGTGAAAGTGTAGTACAACTGATGTCTGTTTAAAAATTTTTAAACAGATTTTGTGCTTTTCAACACTGAACACATTTATTTGCCGTAAATGATAAATCTGGGCTTCATTAAATAATGGTAATAATCTTCGTTAATCCAGAAAATACTTAATCTTTCTCAACATTTGTGTCTCCAGGTTTTTTTAAGCTTGACTTGAGGTCTGTTTTGGGAAGAGAGAAAGAGACCCGCAGAATCTTTAATTAGAACATTATTGTCTTTGTCAAACTGACCTGAGCTAGTTTGATTAGTAGATGAAATGTTTCTACTGTCCTGGGTCATCTTCCTGTCCATCAGCCTCTTCCAGTTTGATGTCAGTAAACTTATCTCTTAAAAATTAGCACCTCCTGAAGAAGTTTCAGATTTCATAGCATTATTAAAAATGCAAACGCTCAGTTGTTACTGTCTTTGGATACTTTCTGATAAAGTAGAATTCTGCGATGATATATCAACTTTTGGCTGGGGCAGGGCAGATACTGCACTGCTAAGACCTCCCAGAGTTTAGAGTAATCATGGCAAGTTTTAACTACTGATGAAACATTAATGGTATCATGACCACCCTCAACACAAAAGCAAAGCCATTCAAGAACATTTAACAACTTTTAGGTTCCCCTTGGGGTTTTGTTTTGTTTTTGTTTTTGTTTGTCTTAGGCTTTCTGGATTAAGGGATGCAGTGCTGACCCTGTTTCTTGGTTTTAAAAGGCGGACCCTCGGATTCTGCAAGGGTCTTTTTTGCTGTTAGATAGTTTAAACACAGGGTCTTGATAACTTAAAATACTTTCAGAAGGCAAAGTAGCCTTTTAAAGGGTTCAGAGTGGAAAAAGAATGCCTTTGTTAGTCTCCGGTTCCCCAAGTCCCCAACTTGTGAAAAATAGAGGCTTTGAAGTAGAGTGACTTAAGGCAGTACTCAAGACCCTAGGAGCTGTTACCGTGTGCGCCAATATCAAAGGTGGATGGTGAGGCCGCAGCTGGGGCAGTTGTGGGTCTGCTTCTGACTCGAGAGAAAAATGGTCCTGTGCCACTGCGGGGCTGAAGCCTGGGCGGGTGACCTGGCCGAGAGGGTGGGCAGACGCGGCCGAGCGGGCG